TATCTTCCTCGAGTCAAAAATACGATTTAAGATTTGATCAGAATGACCTGTAAACAAACTACGATTATTATTACTTAACTGTAGTTCCGTAATTCTAAGTATTGTGGGATATTTACTTACAGACTACAGTAGGTTAGGTTAGCTTAGCTTAGGTTAGCTTAGGTTAGCTTAGGTTAGCTTAGGTTAGCTTAGGTTTGGTTTATTGTGATTTATGTGAGATATTTTGAATAGGGAAACTCTTAAAGATTTACGTTGGAGTCAGTACATGTAATTATTTCTCACTTAAGTTAGAGATAGTCGAGATAATTGTCTCTCATTTAACCTGGAGATAACAGAAGTCTCTCACTCAATCTAGAGACATCAGCCCTCTAACCTAACCTTCAGTTTTTTTTAAAGAGAATCTGATCTCCAATTCTCTTAATCTCACTAAACAATGATAAATAAAACTTAAGAGAATTATATTTTTATCTTAAGTAATATTGCCATCTCTGACACCGGTATCCATGTTGTGGGAGAGACGATAAAAGCGTATTGGAGTCTCTAGGTTAATTAGGAGACCTTTAACCTTAGATCGATCACCTTGATATAGCGGTTAATTTTATTAGTTAGTGAATACATCTTGGAGATTCCTGCAACTACTTTAGCTTTGATGAACAACTACAACACATACAATTAATACAACAACAGAAATTACAACAAAATCAACAATTATACTCACTACAATAACAACAACAACCACAGAGACGAAATAGATCATCTTATTCATAACTCAGACCTTCACAACCCTAACCACCTGACTACACACATGACACAGCCAGGTATAAGCTCAACACACCTGCACAATTCAGCCTCTCCAGGTGTATATATTTTAATCACCCACATACTTAAGTCTTTGGTAATACATTTTAAGTTTCTCTAAGTCTGTGTATTTTTCCTCTGTATGTTTTCATTAGTTAGTGTGTATAGTACATTATTGAACGTATAATTAGGTAATGTATGTTAGGGTAAAATTGAATTATTGTGTTATTTTTTGTATGGTTTTTATTTTCTTCTGTTATTGTATTTATTTGGTGTATTTTAAAGGTGATGGTGACAGAGAGATGTTACACACACACACACACACACACACACACACACACACACACCTGTAATTCTCTGAACTCCAAGTTGTAAACGTTAAAAGCAGTATCGGATGAGGGGGTAATTAAGAACTAAGCCACAATCACGCAAAAGGCTAATCTTTTGTCCCGCAAGCCGTGAGATTCGACCTTATGGGAGGAGAGGCCAAGTGTCACTATGACCCCGGCCGATCCCTCACTCTAATTGGGTGCCTTGGTGTTAGTAGGTAGTCGTTAGGTAGTTGGTAGAGTTGTTAGTAGAAGGTGTAGGTAGAAGTTATAGGTAGGTGGTCAGTTGTTAGTAGTTGTTGTTAGTGGTAGCTGGTGTTAGTGGTAGTTGGTGTTAGTGGTAGTTGGTGTTAGTGGTAGTTGGTGTTAGTGGTAGCTGGTGTTAGTGGTAGTTGGTGTTAGTGGTAGCTGGTGTTAGTGGTAGCTGGTGTTAGTGGTAGCTGGTGTTAGTGGTAGCTGGTGTTAGTGGTAGCTGGTGTTAGTGGTAGTTGGTGTTAGTGGTGGTAGTAGTTGCTAGTGGCAGTTGGGTGGTAGGAAGGAGCAAAGAGTGCAGAAGTTGGTGCTAGGTGGTAGCGAAAGGTGGAGCTAAAAGTTAGTGGGTGGTAGAAGGCCATAGTGTAGTTGGTGTTATAGATGCAGAAGAAAGGTAGTTGTGTTATAGTGTGGTAGTAGCTACAGTGGTAGCTAAAGTAGGTAGTTGGTGTTAGTGTGCTGGTGTTAGTGGTGGTAGTAGCTATAGTGGAAGCGGTGTTAGTGGTAGTAGTAGTTGTTAGTGGTAGTTGGTGTTAGTGGTAGTTGGTGTTAGTGGTAGTTGGTGTTAGTGGTGGTAGTAGTTGTTAGTGGTAGTTGGTGTTAGTGGTGGTAGTAGTTGTTAGTGGTAGTTGGTGTTAGTGGTGGTAGTTGGTGATAGTGGTGGTAGTTGGTGATAGTGGTGGTAGTTGGTGTTAGTGGTGGTTGTTGTCATTGGTAGTTAGTGTCATTGTTATTAATTATGTTATTTGTATAGTGTTACAGTTATTAGTGATAATTTATTAAGTTCTAACCATTTTGTTTGCAGTATTTTGTTAGCGATTCTCTTGTCGAGTCATTTATTTTGTTAATCCGTAAATTAAAAACAAACAAAACCAAATAAACATTAAACCGATTTGGTGTTTTTTGTTTTTGGTTTTTTTAACGTAAGTCAATCTCTCTTAAACCCCGCAACGTGATGTAGAGGTTGTCGCATTCCGCTGTGTTTGTTTGTGTCTGTTTACGTGGGGGAAATTCATTAAAATAAAATTCTAACCGAGTTTTCTTTCTTTTTTTTTTTTTTAGGAGAAATTGTTTTGGTTTTAGTGAAAGGGTTAAGGTCAAGTTGACTTTTATCATGTTATTTTTTTTATGTAGCTTTTGTTAAATCATGTTTATGTTTATTGTTTTTAAGTTAGTTTTTATTACGTTATGTTAAATTTACTGTTATATTTGGTAATTTTATTTTTTTTAAACATTTTAGAGTTATGTTAATCTTTTTTATCCGAGTTATGTTTTGGTCCGTTGTGTTAGAATTTTGTTAATACTGTTATCTAGTCAAGGTTAGTTTTTTAACAATATTTTAGAGTTATTTTTTTCAAGTTAGCTTTTGTTATAAGTTAATTTTTCCTCATAATGTTAAAATGGTTTCAGTTCTTATGTTTCTGATCAGGGACTTTTAACACAAACTCAATGAATGTAAAAATTATGTTAGTTTGTATAAATGATAGTTCTTGGATAAACTAACATTGTTTATCTCGCCGATTTCTTTGTTAATTTTGCGAATGTTAATTTTCAAGTTATAGTAAATTTACATAAACTAATCTCCCTTATCATTGTCATTATTGATGTTTATTATAAGAGTTAGTGAAGATTAACATTCACATTAACATTTATAATTCTCCCGTGTTAACTTTCAGGAATGTTAACTTTGGGTAATATCTAGTCTACTGCATTAATAGATGAGGTTAATTTTTGCTGTTGTTAGAATGTTTATTTTATGAGACGTTAAATTTTGATAATATATTAACTTTTGTGTTGAATTATAATGATGTTTAGGATATTATAGCTGTTCCATGTTAAATTATAGTTAACTCTCTCGAATGCCTTAACTGTCTATGTGGAATACTATCAATAGCTTTGGTTCAGTTGATGTTAACAGTAGCCAGTCTTTCTTCTGTTGGTTAGTTAACTGTTAACAGGAAGGGTTATTTTAGCTCACGGTATAATCAATCTTTCTTTAGTTATAGCTCTTGTTAGCAGCTTAATGATAGTGATTATAGGTGTTAGTGGTGGCCATGTTAAAGAGTCTCAAAGTCTATCTACTATACCCCCAGAGTCTCTAAGTCTCTCCTACTGTAGCTCAGAGTCTCAAATGTCTCTCCCTCTATAGCTCAGATTCTCAAAAATCTCTCCTACTGTAGCGCAGGAGTCTCAAAAGTCTCTCTACTATACCTCAGAGTCTCAAAAGTCTCTCCCTCTATAGCTCAGAGTCTCTAAGTCTCTCCATCTATAGCTCAGGAGTCTCAAAAGTCTCTCTACTATAGCCCAGAGTCTCACAAATCTATCCTACTATACCTCAGGAGTCTTGAAGTCTCTCTACTATTCCGCAGGAGTCTCAAAGTCTCTCTACTATACCGCAGGAGTCTCAAAGTGTCTCCTACTATAGCTCAGGGTGAGGCAGATCAAGAGTCTTTCCGTTCAATCACTGTCATTCCTCCTCTCTAATTACCAGCTGTTACCTTGTTTGATCTAAGTCTAGTTAAGCTATACCCGGCTATTAACCAACCGCTTCTTAAGATCTCGCTAAGTAACGAGGGCGGTCATTCTCAAAAGGTTTCTCAGGTAGGGTTTTTTTTCCGAATCTTTCTTCTAACTTCGTAATAAAAGATTTTTTATCACACGCTCGTTCCTGTATGGCATTGAGGACAGGTTAATATGGCGTTAAGTTTACACTGTCTTTACCTATTGATATATATATTTTTTTAGTTAGGTCAATGTAATGAAGAGTTTATTGTTATTACTATATTGTGCAATAATAACAACAACAACAATACTAATACAAATAATAATGTATCCTTATTTTACGTGGCATACGAAGCCCTAACAAGGTGGTTATCCCCAAACATATAACCAGTATAGGATCGTATCGCCTCTCCTGCTGAGCCACGGACCCTCTCGATACTGACTCGTGAACCCGAAGCAGTAGACTGATGCGTTATTCTGTCCATAAATGCTTCGGATTCACTAGTCTGGATCTCGGGGTTCGTGGTACATCGTTAACTTTACGTGAATCTGTACAGGTGTTCATACTTGTACTGCTGCATGTTCCTCTAGTTATATCTGTACCTGTATTTGTTATGGTACCTGAGTTTATAGCTGTTACCTGTATACCTGTAAAGCTGCTTCTGAATTAACCTCCTTACCTGTACCTGCGGCCGATACTGTTGCCCCTGAATAAATCAAACCAAATTAACTGGGTGGACTCACTTAGGGCACCAAGACGCTGGGTGATGCAGGGTGAAGTCTTATTAATCGTCTCCAGCATCCCATCATAACCAAAAAAAATAATGCGATACTATTGTCACCGTAACCATTAATGATTACAAGAGATCAGTTGCCAGATAACTCATTTCCTACTGGATTCTCCTACGCACGTAATTATCGTTCATCTTCGTGTTATAATGCAACGTTAGTAACGCCACCATAACTTCATTACAGAGGGGGAAGAGGGAGGGGAAAAATAGTTCACTTGTCTTAATAAATTAAAAAGAAAAATGGCAAATGGGTATATGTGGAAACCGCACCGGCGGGGAGATCGGGTGGGTTGGGTCAGTCGCCACACCGCTTCTCAGTACAGCTCCAGCTACGACGGGCGTTGTGTGTCTCTCCTCCCGCTGGACTCGCCCATTGGCGTGCATGTTCACGGAAAACTAAGTTACGGAAATTTGATATTCTAGTGTCTCGTTTATTTTGATTTTCTTTTGGAACAATTAAATGGTTGTTGAATCGTGTGCCGTGGAAAACTTTGAAATTTGTTGCTTGTAAGAACGTTTTATTGTTAGTGAATACTTTGGTGTGGGTAAAACTTGAAGCCAGAGAGTTTTTAAGAAAGTTCACCTGATTGGTGGTAAACTGTTTGTGGATCTCTGAATATCAATGAAAACGGGACTTGGTGGATTGGTTTATCCGAGGATTAGACTTACCTGCCACTCAGATCCGCTGTAAATAAGTGACGTGTTGTTAAGTGCCGCTGACGGTCCGGACTTGTGACGGCCGGGAGATGCTGCTACAAGTCCCCAGAGAAAAGTTTGTAGTGTAAGAAAAGTCCTGAAGTGGAGGAGTGATGGAATTGTTAATATCGTGTCGCTGGAAACTGTTACGTTGTTGGTAGCGAAGGATGGACAGTAGCAGGTAGTGAGGAAGGAGTTAAGTCTTCACAATACACTATCATCCCGGGCCTAACTACCTTCCAACGGTAAGTAATTAAACTAAATATATGTATAACTATTTTCCCCTATAATTATATATTACCAAACGGGAATTTTCAACTATGAGGTAATTCATTATTTATTTCATCGATAATTTGTATCCGGATGTGTCATCCACGAACGTCTTGATTTATTTACATTTTTAACATCTGTAATACTCGCTGAAGCTTATACACGGCGGGGTAGTGACCTGAACTTAATTTCCCAGTCCTTTTTAAACCGCCTTTGCAACGAGAGCTTTATAATTTTTCTCTTTCTGTCTGTCTGTCTGTATCTCTCTCTCTATTTTTGTAGCTTTAGTTAGGAGGTGCTGGGGGGGCAGTTTGTATATTTATTAACTAACTAAGTCGTTAATACGTTGGTAAGTAGCAAAGTTTGAGGCAGTGAGCTGGGAACTGAGTCATCCACCCCTGATTGTGTTCCTGTGGAGGGCACGCGTCATCCACCCTGATTGTCTCTCTGTGAAGGACCCTGAGTCATCCACCCCTGATTGTGTTCTGTGGAGGACCTGAGTCATCCACCCCCTGATTGTATTCTGGAGGGCACGCGTCATCCGCCCCTGATTGTCTCTTTGTGAGAACCCGAGTCATCCACCCCTGATTGTGTCTGTGGAGAACCCGAGTCATCCACCCCTGATTGTCTCTCTGTGAAGGACCCGAGTCATCCACCCCTGATTGTGTCTGTGGAGAACCCGAGTCATCCGCCCCTGATTGTCTCTCTGTGAAGGACCCGAGTCATCCACCCCTGATTGTGTCTGTGGAGGACCCGAGTCATCCACCCCTGGTTGTGTCTCTGTGGAGGGCACGCGTCATCCGCCCCTGATTGTGTCTCTGTGGAGAACCCGAGTCATCCACCCCTGATTGTCTCTCTGTGGAGGACCCGAGTCATCCACCCCTGATTGTGTCTCTGTGGAGGGCACGCGTCATCCGCCCCTGATTGCCTCTCTGTGGAGAACCCGAGTCATCCATCATCCACCCCTCATTGTCTCTCTGTGAAGGACCCGAGTCATCCACACCTGATTGTCACTCTGGGGTAACATGCGAAATGGAATCAGAATGCCATACGGTGCTTAAGAAATACCAGACAACAACTAGCTAGCAGGTTTACTTATCTATAAATTGCAGGTACAGTAACTCGCTGCTGTAATGCGACTGTATCATACAGGTACATCAAGTTCAATCAGATACAGTGGTACATTAACTAATTAAAACACGAATCTGATGTACACTAATTCCCACGCTGGCACAGTATCATAGAACTTGTACGTAATACTTTAACCTTACTAGAGTTACATGGTATAGTGAAGTCAGGTGAGCAATACAGGTATATTAAATGACTCCCATTACAGTAACAACATCTGAGTCGTCTTTGTGGTCATTATTGCAACGTCTTATGTAATTCGATACTTATTATTATCCCAGGAAGGAAGACGAGTAATGTGGCCAATAATAAGATAAAAAACAAAGCCATCCTGGGAAGAAGATGTGAGATAATTGTTAGATCAATGAGGAACTGCAGTAAAGATGTAATTTTTCTGCTACGTGATTGTCAGATGATGGTGATAGTGATGCTTGTTTAGTAGTGGTTGTCAGATGGTGTTCGTAGTAGTGGTTGTCAGATGGTGTTCGTAGTGGTGGTTGTTGGCAGATGGTGGTGGTGGTGGTTGTTGTCAGATGGTGTTCGTAGTGGTGGTTGTTGGCAGATGGTGGTGGTGATTACAATGAGTCAGTCTTCAGGGAATGTCATATCAACTCTTATTTATCGTTATTAACTACTTGACGTAAACTCTCAACTGCCCTGGCCTTCCTATGCAGTTACTACCTAGAGATACAGTTACTACCTTCATACAGTTCCCACGTCTATAGTTACTACCTTCATACTGTTCCCACGTCTACAGTTACTACCTTCATACAGTTACCACGTCTATAGTTACTACCTTCATACAGTTCCCACGTCTACAGTTACTACCTTCATACAGTTCCCACGTCTACAGTTACTACCTTCATACAGTTCCCACGTCTATAGTTACTACCTTCATACTGTTCCCACGTCTACAGTTACTACCTTCATACAGTTCCCACGTCTACAGTTACTACCATCCTACTGTTCCCACGTCTACAGTTACTACTTTCATACAGTTACCACGTCTACAGTTACTACCTGCATGCAGTTCCCACGTCTACAGTTACTACCTTCATACAATTCCCACGTCTACAGTTACTACCTTCATACAATTCCCACGTCTACAGTTACTACCTTCATACAGTTACCACGTCTACAGTTACTACCTTCATACAGTTCCCACGTCTACAGTTACTACCTTCATACAGTTCCCACGTCTACAGTTACTATCTTCATACAGTTACCACGTCTACAGTTACTACCTTCATACAGTTACCACGTCTACAGTTACTACCTTCATACAGTTACCACGTCTACAGTTACTACCTTCATACAGTTACCACGTCTACAGTTACTATCTTCATACAGTTACCACGTCTACAGTTACTATCTTCATACAGTTACCACGTCTACAGTTACTACCTTCATACAGTTACCACGTCTACAGTTACTATCTTCATACAGTTACCACGTCTACAGTTACTACCTTCATACAGTTACCACGTCTACAGTTACTACCTTCATACAGTTACCACGTCTACAGTTATAGTTGTTAGTTCAGAGTAGATTGTGTACATCTCTTGTGAATAATCTGAGCTTGTGTGACATACCCAGGAGAAGGTCAGGTATATGAAGACGTCTGTCAGGTGTATCAGAGAAGGTCAGTTATATGAAGACGTTTGTCAGGTGTATCAGAGAAGGTCAGGTATATGAAGACGTTTGTCAGGTGTATCAGAGAAGGTCAGGTATATGAAGACGTCTGTCAGGTGTATCAGAGAAGGTCAGGTATATGACGACGTCTGTCAGGTGTATCAGAGAAGGTCAGGTATATGAAGACGTCTGTCAGGTGTATCAGAGAAGGTCAGGTATATGAAGACGTCTGTCAGGTGTATAACAGAAGGAAAATTTTCATTCAAGCTCTGGGGTGTCTTACCTTGTGTGAATAGTGAGAACTGTCGCCACACACACACACACACACACACACACACACACACACACACACACACACACACACACACACACACACACACAGCTGAACTGGTTGTAAAAGTAAGGGATTTGATTTTGCCTCTCTCAACCCCGCTTATAGGAACACAGGACGTGAACATTACAGTCATCCAAGAACTTCGTTAAAGGCAGCGGCCCCTCCCCCCGCACCTGTACCCTGCTTACCTGTGTCGCGGTTCCGCTGGTCGCACACAGATGGCGCCTACGGTCGGGAGACGATATTTTAATCTCCTTTTCATTGTCTGTATTTGTGTGAGTGTGTACGATCTCAGTGACCTTTACACACTTTCATAGTCACCACACTGAACAAGCACAAGTATCGTTAACAAGCAGAGCTGGTTTTTGGAGCATGTGATAACAGGTCATAGATAATGCTTCATAATGACCTTAAATTACACATTATTTTACCATTGGAGTAAATACAGTAGTAGACCCTGTCCTGATATTACCAGGGCTGAGTGTGTCCCCAGGTCCTCAACCACAGCCTGGACGTGACGAGTATACTGTACAATGGTTCGAATCCCACCCAGGCCAGATAAGGTAGATGTGTTTACTGTCGCCAATATCTGACCTCTTTAGTGCCAGGACCCGATGGATGGGAGGGGGGGGGGAGGGACACAGAGTTTTGATGGAAGGACACATGGATTCCGTCCTCCACCGCTCGGCTTAGGGAGGTCCTCCATACACTGGGCATGACGTCTCGGTATATCCACCCTCTAACCACACCCCCCCCTCCTCCCCCCGGGCCCCTGCCGTCTCTCCTCCCTGAATGACAAACGCCTCAGTGACGTGTTCATGGGGTGGGTAGAGTGGTAGGACTTCCTGAGCTAACAGTGTTTCTTAAGTGTTGGTCCGGTGTTAGGGGTCCTCTGTCCATATCCACCCTACCCTACTCCTACTCCCCCTCCCCACATATTCCTCGTCCTCTTCCCCTTCGTCCGTCCCCTCACTTCCCCCTTCGCCCTTTTCCCCTTTCATCGTCTACCCCTCTCCATAGTTTAGTATTTTTCTAACTGTACAGGCATATTTATTTTTCAATCTCTTTTATTTTTCTATCGTTTTTTATTAAATTTGCTTTGTTTACACAACAATTTATTTGTGTTTGTAAAAAGTGAGAGATAATGATTTTTTGAGTCATCACTGAGGATGTACAGGAGGGAGAGAGGGAGGGGAGAATTTCTACGCGATTCTCTCCCTCCCTTCTCCTGTCCCTCTCCCCCTCCCGATCTACCTACCCAACTACCTACCTCCCTCCCTCCCTCCCTCCATGGGCACGTAGTTTTCTCCCATCTGAGTTAGTTGTCAGGATAAAAAAAAAACGTACAGCAGCGGAATCCTCGACTTTTTTTTTCATTATGCATCTTTGGATTAACCAGTTAGGACAATATATTTTTATTTCAATTTTACACCGATACGAGGCACATAAGCTGAATAAAAAAAACCCCTCTAAACATAGGTTATCTTTGAAATAAACTCTTACGTGGTGTTTTTTAATGTATTTCACGGGTTTATATCAGCCCGATGTGGGTGTCGTCCACGGGGGTCACCCTGTTTGTTTACACCTGCGCGGGAGGAGGCTTATTATGGTTGTGTCCGCGCACCTGGTTTATGTGTCTGAGTGTGCTCGTGTGTTTGTGACTTGTGTGTGTACATGAGTGATTTAAGTGTGTGTACATAAGTGATTTTATTTGTGTGTTCTTGTAAGTGTATGTTTACTTTCTTCCTGTATGGTTGTATGTTTCTGTCCATGTATATGCGTGTGTGTGTGTGTGTATGCAAGACTGTGTAAGCATGTGCGTATGTGAGCGAGTATGTGCATGAGTACGTGTGCATATGTAAATATATGTAATTTCGCGCG